AAACCCTCCAATAGATGTATAAAACATCACAAATTAAATATAATATCAATGGATGATGTTTTGATCAATTTCTCAAAACTTTGAGAAACCCTTCAATCTTAAAGAAATCACCAAAATTTGATTTTTTGGGGTTTTTCTCTCTAAAATGGTCTCCAATATGTTTTAGGTTACAAATAAACATAAAAACAAGAAATTTGGCCCTTTAATATAAAAAAAAAGGACAAAAAATGCCCCTACCGAAACTGTTTTCCACATCTGGGCAGGGCGCAGTCCTTGGGCAGCCGCCTAAGCGGGTTCCTAGGTGTCTAGGTGGCAGCCCAGGGTTTTCCGCCTATTTTTTACGTGGGTTTTCCACTAATTTTTTGCGCCTAGGCCTGGGCGATGCGCTCAAGCCCCCTGAACCACCCAAGCGCTGGGCAGTCCACTTTTTGAAACACATTGGGCTTGTAGTAGAGCATTCATTAACAATGGGCCTCCCAGCCGATTTAAGGGTTGGTTATCCCTCCTACAGCGTTCACGGTGGGATGGGAAATACCTTTTAATAGTTGATCGACCTGGAGATCGGGAAGTCCACTACTGATAAGTGGTGATCTCATCTCATCTGCAGGGAGAGAGGAAGCTTCTGAACCCCCTTTTCCAACCAGATAACGAGCTATCACTTAGCAATGATTCCGACGGCCGAAAATGAGTACCTATCCCCTACGAGAATCGAACCCACGCTAAATGTCGGCCGAGATGGAGCTGGTTATATTTCCATGGGCTTGCCTTGCCCCAACATCTAAATTTTGTCAAGTAGATGGTTGTTTTCTTCGGAACACGTGTTTAGCGTTGCTCCAGTCCTCATGATTTGAAAGATGACAAAAGGGGTATTTCTATCAATAATATACTTTGTAATGGAAAATTGGTGTTCTGAGTCTTAGACACCGGAGCGCATAGATTCATATGCATTTTAGGGATTTTTTGTGCAAGTCCCAGAGCACGACATAAAGGAATCTCGATTTACCGGGGAATTAAGGAGAAGGTGAATCAAGGTCAATGACTCTTATCACTGGCTTTTCTTTAAATGCGAAGCATCAATCTAACACTTATTGTGCCTTGACCTAAAAGAATTTGGTTTCTCAAAGGTGTATCATAGGCGAAGTTTAAGGTATAACAAAAATAAACTCAAACATTTATATATTATATAAGAAATTGGCATCATTAAATGAATCAGAGGGAGTTTAGCTTTGTTCTAAGATCATGAAGCACTGAACTATATTAATGGGCAACATAAACTAAATCAGTGATATGCTCGGTGGGTAAGCTATTTGCAGGAGTTTACTTTTGCCATGAAGCGTAAAGAAAGCAATCAAAACAGAGCAACATATGCTTTGAGTAGAAGATTAGCTTTAATGGCTACGAGGACAACTACTATTGCTGGGTTTGAATTTATGAAGGATCTCTATGTATATGATAATGACTTCAAGCAGATATGGGTTCGGTGTCATGACGGAGTTAGTGGGAATTTTTTTTATTCAAGATATTTTTCTCTTGAAAGGAAACCGTCTTTGTATACCCAAGAAGCTCTTATAGCATAGCTTCATGGAGAAGCTCTTGGTGGACATTTTGGTCGAAACCTTTGCAATGGTGGAGTTTAAGTATTACTAGCCAAAATTGAAGAGGAAGGCTTGATTTGATGATTTGTTGAGAGATGTAGTACGTGTCAACTAGCTAAAGGGTAAAGACAAAATACAAGGCTTTGTTCTCCACTTCCTATTCCTAAAGCACCTTAGGACGATGTTAGCATGGATTTCATGTTGTGACTTCCGCGGACTCAAAGAGTTATGGATTTTATACTTGTGGAAGTGGATAGATTCTCGAACATGGTTCATTTTCTAGCTTGCAAGAAGACCTTGGATGTCGCGCATATTGTTAATATGTGCTTCAGAGACGCAGTGAGTTTGCATGGCATTCTGAAAACAATAACTTCAGATCGGGATGCTAAGTTTCTTAATCATGTTTGGGGAACTTTGTCGAAGAAATTGGGTTATTCATTACAACTTAGTAATGCCTATCACCTACAGACGGATGGGAAGACTGAAGTGGCATACTATACTCTAGGAAATCTTCTAAGAAGTATTATGAGGAAAAAGAAGAAATAGTAGAATCTGGCGCTGCCACAAGCCGAGTTTTGCCTATAACAGTGTTCTTAGCAAGTGTACTAGTAAATATCCGTTCAAGGAGGTATATTGAAAGAACCCTACCCATTTGATTGACTTGGTTCCCATCCAAACTAACATAAAAGGCAATAGTACTGAGAGGAGCTAGTTGAGTAGATGAAAGAAGTCCAAGAACAGGTGCAAGCAAATCTAGGAGGCACTACATCTAAATATAAAGAAGCAGCAAACAAACATCACTATTTTAAGGAGTTTAATATAGGAGATTGGTTGATGGTGTACCTCACCAAAGGAAGGCATCCAACGGGCAAATACAACAAGTTGAATTCAAGATTTTGAAGAAGATGGGCAACAAAGCTGACAATGTCATTTTCCCTCCACATATGGAGACTTCGGATATCTTCAATATTGTTGATTTGTCTGAGAGTATCATGGGTCACAAATGGATTAAGATGAAGCTGTTAAGTCATGGGCGCGTTCCCCTCAACCCAGGGAGAATGATAGTGCGAAAGTGCATCAAGTGGACAGAATCACAATATAAAAAGTATCTTCTGTAGGAGCAGCAGATTATTCTTGCATATATTTGGAGGTTGTGAACCCTCGGAGGGGTGGGTCACCAAGAAAAGCAAGCACAGCTTGGGATGAGTTTCTAGCTATTTTAGGGTTTCAGTTGTTTTTCTGTTAGTTTTAATTTCTTTTATTTTGCTGGATCAGTTGGGGGCTTTCTGGACATTTTATTTAAAGTTAAAGTCTATTTTAAAAGTCACTTAAGCTAAGACTTTCGGATCATTTTACTTGTTGTATGGATATTTAATATTTCAAGCATTAAATAATAATATAAAAAGAGGTGCATAGTGCGTGGAGGGGTCATTCACGTGATTTCCAGGGAAAGAAAGAGAGACCGGTGCTTTGGTGAAGTTTCTCCAGGAAATTGCTTGTGTTTACCTGAATTATTGCTTATTTATTGTTTTTTTTTTTGAGAAAAAGGTAACATTATTGTTGCTTATTTATTGCTGTCCTTCAAATTTCCCATGTCTCACATCAGAGACCGACACAACTTTTTAACTATCGTTTGCATAAAATATAATTACGTACCTTGCAATACCGCCTAAGATATTAAATTCTTATGCACCAAATATGATGATAGGTTTTGATAACCTAATAAGAAATCAGAGACCAATACGACTTTTTAACCATCGTTTCTGTAAAATATAATTATGTCCCTTGTAATATTGCCTAAGACATTAAATTCTTATGTACCAAATATGATGAAAGATTTTGATAACCTAATAAGGAACTACATGTTCAAAGCCACACGGTGCATATAATAGGCATGAGTAAAAGCTTGGAAGAGCACAAAATATATCCCAAGTTCATAATACACAACCAGACCATTGGATTCTCAAATCCATCACCAATAATCTCTCTCTCTCTCTCTCCGACACACACACCTGCCCCACAGGACACAGTCCATTCATACTCTCTCTCTCTCTCCGACGCACACCTGCCCCACAGGACACAGTCCATTCATATAACCAATTTTAATTTCA